GCCTGGCGGGCGGAGCTGGCAGGCACCTGATGTTGCTGCCAGGGCCTACCCCCACCCCGCCGTCCGCACTAGGGCCACCTTTCTCCTCACTGGCAGGACAGGCAATTTGGAGGGAGTTCCAGTGCAGTCTGATTTTATTAGCAGGGTCTTTGAAATCAAGCTCTGTGGGCAGGAGTTTTCCAGGTAAAAGAGCATCAGTTGAAGTGTACTTGAGGAACCATAGGAAAAAAATTTAAAGCGCAGGCTCCTTACGCTTTTCATAGATCTTTTCTCAAAATGACTGGAGGATTTTAAGTACCAATCACACAAGTTTCATGGACAAAGACAGTTACTGGAACTTTCCTGCGGGGGGAGGAATAGTGTTACTGGTCGGGGCAGTTGTGCCGAGGTTTGTGAGACTGCTGGCTCTAGAGCGCGAGCAGGGTCGGGGTGGAGGGGAGCGCTCGCAGGGCTGGAAGCTCGAGCCGCAGAGAACTGGCTGCGAGCTGGGGCAGGTGCTGCCTGGCCTGCTGTGCACCTAGGCCAAGCAGTGCTGTGCGCGGGGCGGCCTTCCTCCCAGAGAGGCGGAGCCGGAGCCGGAGAAGGAGGCTGGCTCCGTGTGACCCTGACTGGACTGCCATTGAGCAAAGATGGGCGTCACTTCCGGGGAAAAATCCGCCGATTTCCAGATGAGCCAAGTTCCTAAATTCACAAGTAATTTTGTTTTGATTCTTCAGAATATTTGCGTTTTTTTAAAAAAAGTGCCTTTTCTTCTTTGAGTACAGAAAAAGATGGTTCTAAAGACAAAAATGTTAAATTGGGGACTTTTTTGCTGCCATTTGCTCACATAGTAAATTCAGTCCTCATGTTTTGTCGGATCCGTTTAGGTCTTGAGGGCTTTTTTTTTGTTGTCTCAGTGGTATCTCAGCTGCTGGCCCATAGTAGGTGCACAGTAAACACAGTGGACTTTCGCATTTAATTGTCCTTTGGATCAGTGAAGTCACATTTGGCACACACATAAACCCTTTAAACCAGCAGCCTGTACATCCTTCGTCCATTACCCCTGTCCTTTTCTGTGTGGTCAGTGGATGGTACCAGAACCAAATCCAATCCCAGGCTGTGATTTTCCGTTAGTACCAGAGGAGTCCTGCGGTTTTGTAAGTATGAAAATGTAAAGGTCTAGTGAGATCTGGGAAATAAAAGCAGATTATTAACATTTCAGAAATGATGTATAAAACAATGCTTGAGGACTGTAAACTGCAGTTATGTTAAAGGTCTTACAGGCCTCCTAGTTAAGGAAAATATTGGGATAGCCTTACAAGTCTCTTCACTTGATTTATCGGCATTGTTTTTTTAACCATAGATCCTTCCCCTCCCTCTTTTGCCTACTTCTGGTGGCTTTGAAAATGCTATAATTTGGGATGTCTTTGAAACTTTGTAAATTTTAAAAACTGGTCACTTTAAGTTAATTAGATGCTATCAGAGTAAGAATCTGTTCTCCAGCTTTACATTTTTATGGAAATCGCTGACCCTGCATCAGACCTTGTCATTTCCGGTGCTAAGTAAGGTTACACCAAAGGAGTGCTCAGTAAGTGGGGGTAAGTTTCAGTGGCTGAGGTTTGGTGAGTGTGTATTTTATAGCAGGCACTGTATTACGCATCACCTGACTTAATTCCTTACACAGTCCTCTGTCAGGATAGATCGTGGGCTTCTTAGAGATGAAAACTTGTTTTTCCAGAGACGTAGCACTGATGAATGGCAGAGCCATCGGCTGGGTGCCCGTCTGCCCGTTCACTCCCATTGGGCCACTGTAGTCTAAGAAGTGCACAATCACAGTAGCTGGCATGAACTCGTGGAAATGCAACTCAAAAATCATGCTTACCTTTCCCTGCTCCTTTTTCTGAGTGTGTGTGACATCCATTCTCTGCTACTGTAGAAGAGCAATAATATTGTGATCAAAATGGCTTTATAGAGCTTTCCCTTGCCTGCCTCGGGCACTGACCATGGTTCTTCAAGTTGAAAGGAATTATCTTAAGTCTTGGGTTGGAATGATCAGGAAAGGGTGCCCTGTGCCCACTTCTTGCTCTCCAGCTTTTCTGTGTTCAGCCTCTGCCAGGTGTGTTCTTTTTGCTGCTTAACTTATTTTGTTTTGGTACCGGGGATCAAGCTCAGGTCCGAGGCAGGTGGCAGAACCACTGAGCTAAATTCCTGGTCCTTGCTGCTTAACTTCTTAATACTGTCTACCTGATGCTGGTTGAGTCTGAAAATTGGTGTCTGTGGATGCAGAGGACCAAGGGAGCTCTTTATTTTGGAGATGGCGTCTTGCTTGCCTTGAACTCCTGGGCCAGAGATCGTCCTGCCTCCTCCCCCCGAGTGCCTGGTGTGCTGTTCAGCCTCAGCCTGTTTCCCGTGACCACGCAGGTGCTGAGCCTTGCTGTGTGGGCTCTGCTCCCCCGTGAGCCGTGTGTGCGTGCGGCGCCAGTACTGGCCATGGGTGTTAACACAGCCCCTTTGGGTGGAGATACTCTGCTTATCTGGTCTTTATTTTATCTAATGACAGATGTATTTCCTGAGGTGAAGTGAACTTGCCTCTTGGGGAGGCTTCCTCTGTGCTTGCTCGCAGAGAGGCCTGAGAGGAAGCGGTGTCCTATTGTTTTATTCAAGGACAAGGTCATCTTGCTTTGGCTTTGGGCCAAGAAACGCTGGCAACAAATAATAGATCTTCTAGTCCCGTGAGGAGGGAAGTATATTTAGAAACTTGCCAAGGCACCGCACAGACGGCTTATGTGTGAAAGACTGAAAAGCTGCCCCTCATCATAGAACACACTATGGCAGGCTCTTTGCTTTTAGCCAGAAGCACGTGTTAGATCCATACTTTTAAAGTGTAGCTTTAAAATACAGCTTTTAGATAAAGTATAGCTCTAAAGAGGTGTTTAAAAAGTGACTGCCTAAAAATAAAATCAGTTTAGTGAAAAAGGCAGTGATTGAAAGTTGTCAGAAGCCCTTGGTTTCCTGTTCTAACCACGTACCTGCCGTAAGATCACTGATCCTAGTTTCTCTGTCATTGTAAGGGCTGTGTCGTACATGTTAGAAGTGTTTGGCATCTGGAAATCCAGTTTATCTAGCA